TGTGTGTGTGTGTGTGTGAGGGCTCGCAGGGTCACAGGCAAACGTGTTTATATTGCTGCTATGGCAACCCCTCACAGTAGCCTTGGGCAAATAACAACAAGCAAAGTGTGTGTGTGCGCGTCTGTGCACAAGAGTGAGAGAATATGTGAAGAGGGGATTTAAAAAGACGAGGTGTGTGATTTAATTTAAGTCTTCAATTCATACATTTTAAAGAGCGGTCCTGCTCTCTCCTCACTCTGTCTCCCTCTCTCCCCCCCGAGTGGGGCTGGCCTGCACCTCAATCATCGGGCCCTTCCTTTCACCTTCTCTTTCTCCCAGCTCCACATGCTAAGTGGGAACATTGTTACGGTCAATTTGTCCCATTCAGGGTCCCAGTGGGCAGTGTCCCTGCCCTGACAGCCCGCAGACAGAGACCACACTGCCTGAGAGGCCTTGACATCAAGGTCTGGAGGAAAGTAAGGGGGGGAGGGGGGAGAAGGGAAGAAAGCGAAGGACAACAGGGGAGGAGGGGGGAGGGAAACACAGGAGTAGAGATGTAATGAGGGGAGCAGTGGTATGGAGGCAGAAATGCGCGAGAAAACAGGCGAGAGAAAGAATGACAGAAGGAAAAAATGGGAGAAGAAGGCTGGGGTGCCAGGTTGAACACAAACCCCACAGACTGGGCAGCTCAATAGTATTTCTACCAGTCGGTCAATCACAGAGCAGACTGATGTAGATGGTGACAGCTCGGCTCACTTCTAATCAATCTGCCTGAGTTTGGACAAAACCCAGAGAAATACAAGACGGACAAGCTCATGGGAGTCAGGGACGCAGGTGTTCACGCACAGAATTGGTGCAATATAGATATGTAATTTGAGGAAATTAAATGTTTCCTCTTGGGACTAATTTTTGCCAAGTAGAAACATAAGTTGAGGGGTCACTGAAAAGTTGGTTCAAGAAATAATATATTTCCGCCTTCCCTCTGGAGGTATGTGCAGTTTTCATTGGACGTAATCCCAACCAACAAAATACTCCTGATTATCGACTGTTGACAAGGTGTTGATGTTGCAGAGTGTGACTGTTTCTGGAAAGACACATTCTCTAAAAAGTTTCTAAAAGCTATTTTTACAGCTGTGAGCAATGAATGTCCATTAATCTCTGTTGTATAAAGGGAAAGGCAGTAAAATGTCAACATATAAAACCTAAACAATCTCCATGGTTAGATCCTGTACTGGTTGAGATCTGTGAGACAACAAGCGTGAGTGAACATGAGTAGATGACTTCAATGCAGCACATTAAAAACACAGACAACAAGGTTTACAGCTATTTAGTATGGGGCTTTTCATAAAGTTGGGGATTCACATTGGGAATAATCCAAGTTGAACCAACAAAGGCTTTGTGTTGGTCAAGCTCCAAATACACCAGATCCTACATTTCCCTTGATGCAACTCAATAGCGTCATTCATCATAACTCCTCTTTTTGTTTTAAACCACAGACATTCTATTTGCATCGCAATTGCAAATCAGAGATAACCCTGATGACATCAGATGGGTTTTTTTTCCCCTTACTTTGGAAGCTTCCCTCCAAACCAGAACTACTTTCTCCAGGCTTTGTTGTACTCTGTGTGTAGTTATAAGTGTAGAAGCTTCTAACGTAGATAATAACATGGGGCTTTCTATCAAAAAGACCACTGTTGATAACCCGGGTCACATTCCCCCTCTCACTACTATATTGTTTTAACACTTTAATATCAAGTTTCAACATGTAAATTTTAACTCATATGTTTCACAGAACAGATTCTACAAATGATAAAACTGTATTCCTTTACTTCGGCCAAGACTTGCTTTGCAAATTAATCTTTTTTTTTATTTCTACACTGGAGCAGCCCCAGGTCCACAGGTGATGTAAAGCCTGGGCAGGCAGCAGCAGAGGGAGGTGGGGTTAGAGGGATTAAGTCCCTGTGTAAAGGCACCTGTTACTTCAGTGCATATGGGTCCAACACTTGCTCCAACGCAAGGCGTGCAGAGCGGCTGTTGGCGTCTGAAACGAGGCACAAACAGGGTGCCCATTCAACCGAGGCTGGACGGCACTGAATTACACTTGTATGGGGCACAGACAGACTGACTCACACACATGCACAAAAGTCCGATGAGGACAGGAAGGCAAACAGACACAATGTGATGAACAATTTGCCTTATGTTTCTCTGTGTGACAAACACACACACAATCACTCAAACAGTTCTTCAAGCTAATTGGCAGTTTGAGGTGAAGACAGCAGGGATCTGTCAAGGATGTGCACATATGGTGGGATGTTGCAGATCCCTCCCAAATTAACTAACTTTATAATAAATCACTGGGCACTGCTAGCTGAGGATTAGCCAAGCTCCAGCGAGCACTTTGTTAGGCTGTGAGGAGAAGCACTCAGGGAGGGGAGCAAACGCCGCCAAAAACTGACATCAGCACTGGGACCTTGGAACGGTACGAACCATCCCGCCTGGTTTCCTGGGCAGACATTAGCCTCGTTATCAGAGTTCTCCATTGAAACAAAAATCCTGCTCCGATATGAGGCCTGTACTCTGAGCAATTGATTTGTCTTCTGTTGGGGTTGTTTCACCGATTTTCACTTTTGGTGTTCAGGACATCAGCACTATCTTCAGGTACACAGTGCTTTCCTTATGTTTGCCTCACACAATTCTCTGTGCAATCTTACCCCCCCACTGAGTCATCTCTTTTGGCAGGAGCAGAGCTTCCTACAGCCTGGTTATTTACATGCTGACTGAGAAAAACATTCATCCCCTCTCACCAGCACTTGCAGAAAGAAATTAAACCCATTTGAAGAAGCTTATGATAAATTCCCTCAATATCGCCAAAACAAAATTGGCTTTCGCAAAACTATTAGAGTTAAATCTTGACTATAGAATTTTGTTGTGGTTATAGAAAAATTGAAAGCATATGTCACCGCCACAGCTCCGAGGGCCGTTTCTTGATTTTGTTCTTTCCTCTAACTCCTGCTGGACATAGTGAAAGTATAATACAATGTAGTAAGTGTGATTTATAGTTGGATTTCCCCTCGCAACTTTCTAAAGGGGACCTGAAGCTCCAGTAACAGCATCCGATTCTTCTGTTTTCAACTCTCACGTCACATTTTTGTCCTTTGCTACCGCACAAATGAAAACTAGACCCAGCACAATAAGATCAGAGATCATATCAGAGGTGCAGTTCCTGTGTTGTCTACTAATTCCTTCCCTCTGATAGCGCTTTCTCTCGTAATTGCTGGTTGTGTGATGGGCCTATACAAGAAGATGTCAGAACATGTGAGGGAAAGGGGTCGCCGCTTCTTTTCTGTCGTGCCAAACAAAGCAACGACACAGAGATGATTAGACAATTGTCTTATCTGCTTCTTGTATCATCTTCTAAACGTCTGTCACCAACTACTGTATTTCCCCTCTGTTGCTGTGGGAAAGGACTGAAACAGAGTCCGGTGCAGTACATCACCCCCTCTCCCCAATGTAGCATGTGAGCCGCAGAGGAGAAGGATTTACTGTATGTGAAAAAGTGTAACCTGCGGCAGCAACCCTGCTCCCTGACTGTCAGGAGTAGGTGACAGCCCTGAGGAGGAGGAATTAAAGAGGCTCTTGGCCTCCGAGGCAAAGTGACACAGTCAGAGTGACAGAGGGGTTAGTGGAGGTGCTGGTATTCCCTTGGCTGTGTCTACCCTCGCACTGGACAACGAGAACTGTCTCACTTTCTTTAGATGTTTCTTTCTCTCCCTCTCTCTCTCTGTCCTCCTACCCTTCTCTCTCTTCTCTCTCTCTCCCTCTCACACACACACACACTGGGGCTCATTATAGAAAATCTCTGACCCTTGGGGACTTCACTTACTTCTCTGTCTCTCTTTCCAGTCCACAAACCTCGGCGTTGGACAAAAGGCAGCTGAAAGGCAATTTGAATTTGAAACAGGGGCCACAACAAAAACACTGCAGCTCCCAAATGGAGAAACTTTAGGAGACTTGGAGCCAGCCATTGAGGCTCGGTGGGTTCTCGCACAAGAAGATAGAAAAAAAAGGGATCCTGACACTATCCTACCAACCAGCTCAATGTACTGTAAAGAGAGCAGCTACTGCAGAGGGAGAGGGAGGGATGGCAGAGCCTGGAGGCAGCAGTGGTGGTGGACACCAGGGGCCGAGCAGGTAGAACACACACAAATAGATTCACCACCCAAATAAACAAGTGAGAAAGACACACATTTGACCAGCCCCATGGTAAAGACAGACTGTTTCTGTTTCTGCAACTTAAATATAAGGTTTTTAATTTGGATTTGAAATGATCTTGGCATGAAAAAGAGAGCTACACATTTCAGATTGAAACCTGCTGAATTAAGTGGATGAGTGACACTGGGGTGTGAGGAAGATAATAACTGTAACAAATGACGAATTCATAATCAATACACAACTGTCAGCCATTTTCCACCCAAGAGTCTGAGTCGTGTCATTATCCAATCACTGGGTGGATGAGTGAGGTGAGGCGCATCTCCAGGTTTAGAAACCTGCGTGTTTGTATGCGTGGCTGCGAGCTACGCAGTATGAAATTGGAAAATAACACTATGAAAACCTGCCGTGGAGCCAAGACGTGACAGTGGTTTCACCAGAGAATGTGTTGTGTGGTGTGATGGTTCGGTTCGTTTCAAATCCCTCAAACTGAATTCCTTCGTCTAATCAGAGTCACTACAAAGCATCGGGGCGCGTAAGGAGCCTGTGCCCAGAGCGCAGCGCAGCGCACCGCGGTGACCACCACGAACCCCCACCCACCCACTGGACAGCCCGGGTCACTTACCTCTCTGATTGTCCTGGAGGGCGGAGAGGTGCAGCCGAGCTGTACGAGTCAATTGTGTGTTCCACTGGAAACAACAACAACAACAAAAAATCCGAGAGTGATCAGAGGAGAGCGCGGACTCGATAGTGCGCTGCCAGATCCTGCGCAGGGCTTTGTAAACTACTCCTCCCTGTCGCACCTGTCTCTGGCAAAAACTGGTCCAGCGCGCCGGCCTGACATCCCCAAGACAACTGTCTCAGGGGGGGTTTGTGTGTCCGTGCCCCCAGCTACTTTCAACACACCCACACACACACACACATGCGCACACACACACACGCGCGGCACCACCTGTCCCCCGGTGCAGAACAACCCACAAAGAGCTTCTATGTCGCGCAACGACACATGGCAGTTCTCCCCTCTTGTGGTGGTCTCTGCAGCAGTTCGATTCCTCACAGACAGCCGCCCGAGACCCTCAAATAATGTGGAGACGCTGGGAGCAGTGGATGATGAAATGAGGGGGGGAATGCAAAATGCAATTATGACCCATCCGGCAACGTCACTGGCACCGAACCAGCTGCGACGTTTTGGAAGATCACATCTGTCGCTCGCTGTTGCTCGGCCCAGTTGTGTGTTATCAATCTCCTGTCACAATAGTTGCTCTATTTCGCTGCAGCGCACGACTGCTGCTCTGTCATTGCTGCATCTCATTCCAGCTCGGCTCTATGAGGGGAGAGACTGTTCCTTCTTTCCGCTGATGCGCCCCACACGTCCACACACAAAAAGCCAGGGTCTGGATCCAGCGCGGCGCAAATACGCAAAGTCCCACTCATCGGTTTATACAAAAATAAATTGTTCCTCTTCCACGGGCTGCACTCCGGAGCTCTGCTGAGGTGGGACCACAGCGTTGGTCTTCTAGCGGCAGTGTGCGCTACAGCATCTCCACCACTGCTCCCTGCTGTCACCCACCAGACTCCTGGAGCCTGTCAGTGCCAAAACCTGAAGCAGAATTACGCAGCGACTGGAATGGAATTGATTAACGACTAATTGGGGGTTCGTTTTGTTTCTTGGAGGCGTCTAATCCCTCCTAAATCTCGCAAATATCTGTCTACATCTTAACTTGGTCATTGTGCGTTGAATGGGTTGGATGGCTACAGCATGACCAGCGGAATTGGTTAAAAGTCAACCCGGGGCGCGCCTGCACCTGAGAGGGAGCATTGTTCTTCTGCGGTTTAACCCAAGGGGCCGTTACATTCCGTTTTTGACGGTGTTTTTTGAGAGATTACAGTGCTGACGTTCAAATGAAACCACAAGGTGGATTCAAAGAGTCATTCCAATAATGGTGACGTTTATTGCCAATATTTCTGGAGAGTCAAGTGGTGCAGCAACGTAGTATACTCGAAAAAAGTCCCACTCAAAGTGGATCAGAATTATCCGAGGTGATACATTCTGACCACAAACACTCATTCTCTTATGCAATATATTAGTTTCAAAACATTTTTATTTTGGGTTTGGGGATTTTTCTTCTATATTAATTGTATTTGTGCATCAGCAGACCTACTTGCAACGATGATACATATTGACAGGAAAATGTATTGGATTTTTAGAAATCTAATTATGATTCCACTGAGTCCCGTTTATTGTAATGACATGAAATAATTCAGTGAACTTGAAAACATTTTCCCCTCCCAGAGTTTAAGGTCTCTGCATTTGCATCTTCTCATTGAGGCTTAAATTAACACAACAGAGGAATAATTTAGTCTCATTAAATCTCAATAAGCCCTCAGCTCATCATAATTGTTGCTCTTTGCAATTTGGAGTTTGTGTTTGATGTGGGTGTTCAATCATTTGTGGTGTTTTTTGGTGACACTCCCACAAACATTGTTCATCCTCATACTCAGCCCACACTACAAATGCCTGAGCAGCATATGGAAAAGCCTTCATGTGCAGCAGCGTCACTGGATAATACTGGTGCTGTGTTATATGTGCTTGAGGAGTTAAGACCTCTCCACCAAATTGCTGGGAGTCTAAGCCACTTTTAAGCTTTGATTCATGAATAATTAATTCCTGAAATAATGACTTGTACCGGATTGAAGGCTCATGTGTGTAGCTCACTCTCTTTACCGTCTTAATAAATCTACTCCCCGGATCCTTTCTGATTCATTCAGTTATAATCATCGGTGCCAGAACGGATGAGTCAACCTCTAATTTGGGAGAAAAATGCAAAAAGTCCCCTGATATGACAATGAAATGAAGCCTAAAGTTAAGATTCAAACCAAATACATATGAGATCCGTATACGTAATGTGCATTAAAGAAGTAAAGGTCCTAAAATAATTATTTTTCTTTCATCAGCAGTGATTTTGGATGTTGGAAGGCTGTTTCTTTTCAAATCAGTAAACAATTTACTATGTTTAAGCAGGTGACATTCTGTGGAGCTTATACTAAAGCCTACTGTTATCTGACATTGATATTTTGTGGGATTTTATGTCCTGCTTGTTGTTTGCTGTTTTCTTTTTCCTTATCTGAATTTACACAGCCAAAATTCGCCTGCATCAGCATTCTAATACTTTTCATACAGTTCACCTCATTATCCTGCCTGTGACTTTGTAGCCTCCACAATTAGCTTAAAAAGAGAGATTCTGTCGTCCGGTTAACTTTGCCCATGCAGGGTCCCCAGAGGACACGTAATGTAAGTCTTTGTACGAGCCGACTGTAGTTACAAAAGAAGAAAGCGCTTTGACAGCAGTATCATTATTTGTATTAGGCGTCTGTTACTCTCACATACAAACCCATCATGTCTCATGTGTCCCTAAGAACCTGAGGTGTCCTGTCTTTTGAGCCACAGCACTGAGGACAAGGTAGCTTTGACTAGATAGCAAACAATTCAATCTGTGTCCAGCCTTTTCAGAAAGACTTGCACAAGGAGTTTCCCATCTGTGAGTGGGCCTATGTGTGTGTCTTCAGAGCGTGAGAGCTCACACTCTTTATGGTTTCGTCCCAGCTGTTTCACTGCGCTGTTACTCCACCCAAAGTCAGTGTTTGAAACAATTCCGTTTTTCTTCTCTATTACAGTACTGTTAGCATGGACTGTTCGAGTTTTGCTGAAGAGCAGCCGCTTTAGCCTTTGGTGACAGTTATGCAATAAAATAATTTTACTGAACAGAAGTGCCATGTGTGAAGAGTCTTAATATCCATCTCAAGTTTGATAAGGTTACCTAAGAATAGCTCCCTTCAGCTATTGGACCATACAAGACTAAGTTAGTATTGTATTTACAAGTTTGACTTTCCATTTGAGAAATTATTTTCTCAATTTTAAGGCACTTGTGCTTCAGATTATTATTTCCATTTTATTTTACTTTATCCTTCTATTCCACTACAATGAAGCAGGAAACATTTTTCGTTGTGTTCATCTACGTCAAACATATAGCCTAGTTGCAGCCTACTCATATTTTAGAATACATACAATAAATGTAATTTTTCTGGGAAAGAAACAGTAGTTATAGTAGTTTTACTTTGAAGTTAATAAGTTCTATCTCAACCTGCTACAGTATTTAAGTGACGCTAGCATGTTAATACTTCAGTAGTTATATAAGATTAGATAACATAAAAGAACATCCTCGGAAAACAGAGACTCTCTCAACACAACAGTTGCAGATCCTCTGTAGGAGGTACATGTGTTAATGCAAATGTCCGAGTGAGAGCTCCCAAAGTTTCTGCAGACTCCCTCCGCCAGCTCTCAGAGTATACTGTCTGTAGAAAGTCAGCAGAATACGATGTGAGAACACAGCAGGGAATCACCTGCTTGATTCACTGTGAGCCATTGGGGAGGGTTGATGATGCTTCTAACACAGACGCAAAGATGAAAAAAAAAAGAGAGCAAATATCTCCCAGTGAAAACGCAGTGAAACATGTGGAAGACAAAGATGTCAAGAGAGTTTGTCTGTGTGTTGTAAAGAAAATCACGTGATCTCCACAGCAAAGTTAATACGTCACTTCCTGCCCCTGACTGCTGCATCTCTCGCCTGAATAGTGTGGAGGATTTGCTGCTGTTGTGAACGCGCTGTGCAGACAACCTCCCGCTGCAAACCATGGGCAAAGTCCAGACCCAATTCTCCAGACTTTATCCACAGGTCATGTCTGAAAGGGGTTCAAGAGGAAGAAAAAATGAATTGCAGGTTGCATTATTGTGATGATAGCACTGTATTTCTGCTAAATTTGAACGTATGACTATAACTTGTAAGAGAGTAGTGGTTGTATTCACGCTTTTTCTGAATACAGCTTCTACAAAAGAAGTTATTCAGGGAAACCCTGCAGTGTAACACAGGATATATGCAGGGAGGGAAGACTTCCACAATGACTCTCCGTGTACATACAGTAGTTACTGCTGACAGTACTCTATTCTAAAATTAAACTGCTCTCCAAAAGTTTTTTTTTTAAATCCCTAGATCAGCCTATTATTCTGTTTCCAGCTACTTTGCATACAAATGATTCAGGACACTGCAGCTTTGAGCCATGTGCAACAGAGGAACTTACACTATTTCATCTCCTGTCAAAGTTTGTGTGCTGGTGATAAATAAATAAATAAATGTTCATTTTGTTCATCCGTTCGCTTTCATCCCACTCGGTGTGTCAGTGCAGGCAGACTGGAGACCTGAACCAGATAAAAGCAGAGGAGCTGCCATCAGAAAGCTTAGGAAAAAAAACATGCAGCCTTTGATTGGGAATGCACTTTTTAATCTTTCTACGACATGAGGGAACAGGGACGGGCAGCACAGTCATCCTCCCTCATGGGGCCACAGTGTGTATGTGTGTGTGTGTGTGTGTGTAGAGGGAGATATGCTCTATGCAAGGCTCAGATGAAGCTTTTGTCTGCTAACTTCCATTTCACCAAAAGTATGAACGCAAAATAAAGATTCCTCAGTCTCCGTTTTCTGTGACAATATTCTGTCTCACATGGTTCACCAAGCTGCCAACAAAGCCACATGCACTGTGTGCAGGGTTCATGTGATCACACCCAGGGACTTCATAGGCTCTGCAGTCGTTGTCAACTGATGGAGTCAGTCATTTGATGAGCAGCTTCAAGATTGTCTATCCATTTAAACCACCCAGTAGTATTTTTGGGCAAGTTACTCATTGCAACCATAGACTACATCTCCACTATCCAAAAAAGAAGGCAAAATATTCCATATAGGTTCATTGTCATCTTGTAAAATAGGAATAGGAAGCAGGGGCACTGAGGGGGCTGCAGCACTCTCTACTGGTGAGGTGCAGTAAGAAAGCAAAAAACGAATGCAATTAACTAACAAAAAAACCCTAGTGGTACTAGTCATGAACTGAGGAGGAGGATGTTCAATTTCAATTTTTTTAATTACTAAAAGTTTTCTCAACAGTATTTAGATATTAATTGTCTTTATTTTGATTCAAATATTAAGATGTATTTGAAATATGATAATCATGTTTGACTGAACACAATCTAATGCAAAAGTGTAAGAAAATACATTTATTTATTGTCATTGAGAAGAAAATGTTAAATAAGTTGAATTGGTTACCATGTTTTCTTACCTGAAATTGAATATGCTTGATCCTAGCCTGTAGCACAGTGAGAATCTGCAGCAAAAGAAAAAACCAGAACCTGACCTTGATAGCGACAGTCCCTGGTGTGAGCCTGCTCCAGTATTCAAACACAACATTAAGGCAGAGAACACAGTTTTGAGTTGTTCTTCTTCTCAGTGTGACATGTAAACAGTGAAGCACAAAAAGGTCTGAACAACAAAGGTTTGTTTGGCTGTGAATAGGAGCAATGGAAAGTCTGGCTTTCAGAAATGATGGATGTTTGATGGATCTCCTAACATGCAAATTCGGTTTTATATTTAATGTTTATATAACATTTCAATTTTGTTAGCGAATG